TTTCAAGAAATATCCATATTGCCTGCAATAAACATCATTGAGTTTTGACCACAAGGTTACAATCGGGGTAATCTTTGGCAGTCTGGTGACTAAATTTAGGTCCTTAACCACTACACTACCTGATTGCCCCGGAGCTGAATGAAAAACACATGAAGATCTAGTATTTAAATTGCAAAGTCATTGCTAAATATAACCTCTCACAGTCACCTGACTGTCAATTCTTTCCGGGATCAAAACACTGTCAGCTTTATGTAGGAGGAAAGTCGAAATGATGCAGGTCTCAGACGTTTACCACTTTATTGAAACCCACAAGTACAGGTATGGTGCTGACAAACCTAGAAACATAATTAGGGTGAACTGGATATTAGTAACAGACTTCAGAAGCTCATTTCATGAGGATGCAAGCAGACATGGCCGAGGAATGGGCAAAGATGACATTTTCTGTACGTCTGCCTGGCCACAGTTTGGGTTCAGTAAATGGTGACCAACAGAAAGTAGATAAGTTATAACCTTTACTACATTTGAGCTTGATCACTGTGATAGTCGCAAACAAACTTTTTCTTGTCAATGTGAACAAAATGTAACTGTGTTCCTACAGATTAAAAAAACCTTGTGGTTTAAGAGGATCCCAATTAGATATTTTTCTACCGTCCTACAATGGTGCAAGATATCTGGATGAAGTCTCGGGGTAAACTTCAGCTTCTTCTGTGAAGATATCCATGGCAGACGACAGTTGATGGTAAACACTCATGCCACATGGAATCGGTCTTGTAAAATTAGAATACAATTACATTATCTCTCTGGGATGGTCTCCTGGCACTGCTTCCTGACTTTGCTCAGTTTGGTGATGAGATCATGCTTACTTCATGTGGAAGGACGTTGCATGACTCACAATAGCATATCTCCCAGACAGTAGCAACAAATATTTGGACAAAATAAAAAAGATTTATTGGACAACAGGTCTACACAAGATATGAAATGCATCTGTGGTGTGACTTCATCTTGATGCCAGTGACCTGGCACTTCTTCCCGCTGTGGATTAACATGGAAAGGCAGATATGTAGGACCCACCGACCATCATCTTTCCCAGGCTAGGGAGTAACAGACTTAAAAAGTCCACTTTCCACCCTTGCCGTACTAGGCAGGAATTATGGAGTTATATTTTGGCTGGACTAACGAGTCTATGCATCGTCCAATCAAAATCCTGTTAACCAAATCTACATCTGGTCCGTAAACAACGTGGCGATGCCATGCAATATTTGTTCGATTGAGGGATCATAGAGCATGTGTACCCACAACAGGGCGTCAACAGATATTTTCGGAATCTTTTCATGCTATTAATGAAGCTGCTCAAGTGAGATAAGACCCTTCATTTTGATTATCGATCAGATCGTCTTGACTGGGCGCCGCCATTTTGTTTGCAGCAAATGCAAGTGATATGAGAGGTGGAATCTTATTAGTCAGTAGGGTGGACATAGAAGGGACATAACTTGTAATAGCCACTGGTGGCGCTACAACCAAGCCCAGAAACTCCAGCCTGGTGGACTTCTAAAGTCAGTTAACTCTGTTGCCTCGGGAAGATGACAGAACATAGTCTCCCCCATCTACAAGGAGGAACACACATGGTGCAGCTTACAGGGGTCACCATGTTCACAGGGACATATTTGTAAGTAATTTCAAAATTTAAACACAACACTGGTTTCTGGTTTAACATTTTAAAAGTGTGACTGCTGGGGACGACCCCCGGTGTGTGGTTCAGTGACATGTCACCGGTAGTGTAGACTGGATAACAGGTCAATGGGAAAACAACAATAAATTCAAAATTACAGACAAGACACAAGTGCATATGTTAAAACAAAGAGGACAAAGAGGCCTCGATCTGTCTTCAACCCAATCAACCACGAACCTGACCTAGTAAATCAGACCAAAACATCTAACTGACGAATAATCATTGAAACAATAAACAGATGCTATAAACACGTGTATCTGACCACAATCATATCACACGCTCATGCGATGCTATAAACCATGTATCTGACCACAATCATATCACACGCTCATGCGATGCTATAAACCATGTATCTGACCACAATCATATCACACGCTCATGCGATGCTACAAACACGTGTATCTGACCACAATCATATCACACGCTCATGCTCACTTACACAATACTTGTAACAACCATTGATAAAAAAGCTCAGCTCATGATTTGGAAAAAAAAAAATTCTTCATATTTTAATGCTTAACAACTTTTATTTCAATAGAATAAAGAAATATTATGTTTGAATGTGAAAATCATAAGCCCTCCCGGCCCCCATAAGAAATGTTCCTGATCTCTGCTTGTATCAGTTTCTACCCCATGCATCAATCTGGACTCTATGGTGACAGAACTACTCAAGGTGATTATCACTGTTGAACTGTGACCTGTGACCTTTAACCTTCAGTGACTTCCCAGATTCCGTGTACTAATGATCGCACCGTGACATTAACAATCATATTAATAATAATAGAAATATTGAAAAGGAATACATGTAACTGTTCAAATAAAGGTATCGTATACCTAATTATAAATATAACTATTTGATTGTTTCACGCCTTGGAACGTTCTTAACAAATGTGTATAATCTGTACATGTGAGAATAAATATATGTAATCAAAAAGGTATTTTGCTTTGCAAGCTAATAACTATTAGATAACTACAAAATATATTAAGATTGTAAACAATGCTAATCTTTTTTCTCTTGAAGCACATTAACAGGTATGTACATTAGAAGCTACGTCGCAGCTACTGGACAACAGGGAAATTGAGCAAATGTCAAATATTCTTCAACAACAACTTTTACTGGTAAATTTCAAATAGTAGTCTCTCTTTGAAGCACAATCACTGATCAGCATACTCGGCCTCGCAATACATCAACAATACATCACATGTATACAGTCTAACAAAAATAGTTGATAAGATCTACAACAACAGGAACAAGGCACAGACATTGCAAGAATATCAACTGTTATCATAGTTCAGTGTGTTTTACATTTCATTGAACAATAGGAAAACATGAGTTTTTAAATCACAGAACTTGTGTCACATGTCGTGTGAGAGATGGGATGGGGAGGGGTTGGGAGGGGATGATCGTGGAGATTGTCATGGGAGTGGGGATGGTCGTGGAAAGGGGTTGGGAGTGAGTGAGTGAGTGAGTTTGGTTTAACGCCGCTTTTAACATTATTCCAGTTATATCACGGCGTGTCAGCTTAATGTGGGAGGAAAGCCCGAAGTGATGCAGGTCTCGGACGTTTACCACTTCAGTGAAACCCACGAGCACGGGTATGGTGCTGACAAACCTAGAAACATAATCGGGGCGAACCGGGATTCGAACCCACAATCATAGGTTTCTGGCGTGCCCAAGGGACGCAACTCTGCACAGCGAATCGCGGCGCCTTAGAAGACTGGGCCACCCGTGCCCCCGAAAGGGGTTGGGATGGATGGGTAGGGGTGGGGATGGTCGTGGGAGGGGTGGAGATTGTCGTGGGAGGGGTGGAGATTTCATGGGAGGGTAGGTGATTGTCATGGGAGGGGTGGGGATGGTCGTGGGAGGGGTGGAGATTGTGTGGGAGGGGTGGAGATGGTCGTGGGAGGGGTTGGGATGGTTGTGGGAGGGGTTGGGATGGTTGTGGGAGGGGTTGGGATGGTTGTGGGAGGGGTTGGAGGGGTTGGGATGGTTGTGGGAGGGGTTGGGATGGTTGTGGGAGGGGTGGGAATGGTTGTGGGAGGGGTTGGGATGGATGGGTAGGGGTGGAGATGGTTGTGGGAGGGGTGGGGATGGTTGTGGGAGGGGTTGGGATGGTTGTGGGAGGGTTTGAGATTGGGAGGGGTGGGGATGGGGAGGGGTTGGGATTGATGGGTAGGGGTGGGGATGGTTGTGGGAGGAGTGAAAATGGGTGTGCTAGGGGAGGAGTGATGTGGGCATGGTTGAATTCTCTGAAATCCAGGGAAGTGTACCCATGTCTTGTACCTAGGACTGGAAAACACATTGACCAGGCCAATCTCGTACATGTATCACGTGTATCGATGCCACCTCATGTTGATTCATCACAGCCCCACCCGTTTGCTGGCATCTCACACATAGGACTGAACTTGAGGTAGCTTCATTCAGAACAACTACAACAGCAATAAACTCAGCTACTCCTGTTTAGTACCCAGACATCCATATCAAAGTCTGACGTAGAACAAGCCTTCAGAATAACATATTACAAACACAATTCCATCATGAATTTCAATGTAAGCATGAAAGAGGTATCAAGAAATACAATACACTGTCTTGAATCACATTCAACTGATTAACAATGCACAGAAGTCTCGTTATTATAGGCTGCAGCTGTAACACACAGTCCATGAATCCACCCGCCCCTTCACCCGAACACACGCGACAGCATCCCTGCCCCCCCCCAACTGTCCAAGCCCACATGCCACCACCCTCCACACAACAAACCCCGACTATCAACCCAACACACTATCCACCCCCCATGCACTATTCACCCTTCAGACACTATCCACCCCTCACAAACTATCCACCCCCACACACTATCCACCCCCCACACACTATCCACCCCCAACACTATCAACCCCCCATGCACTATCCACCCCCAACACTATCAACCCCCCACACACTATCCACTCCCACACACTATCCACCCCACACACACTATCCACCCCCCACACACTATCCACCCCCCATGCACTATTCACCCTTCAGACACTATCCACCCCTCACAAACTATCCACCCCCACACACTATCCACCCCACACACTATCTACCTCCCACACACTATCCACCCCCTCCACACTTCACGCACTATCCACCCCTCACAAACTATCCACCCCACACACTATCTACCTCCCACACTATCAACCCCCTCACACACTATCAACCCCCCACACACTGTCCACCTCCCCCACACTATCCACCCCCCACCCCCCCCACCACACACACTATCAACCCCCTCACACACTGTCCACCCCACACACAGCCACCCTACTTGAGGTACATCTCATCCCACAGTTGGTTCTGCAACTCAGGGTGTGCCTGTGCGATCACCCCGACACACTGATTGTGCTGCAGTGTGGCCATCGCCAGCTCGCTGATACGCAGGAGAAGGTAGCCCATCCTCCCTTCATAGTTTGTGTGGTGTCCTGAAAACAACTTACATATATGAAAAGAAAATAGACAACATATTTTTTCAGTCTTGCTAGACAATGGTATAAGGATCTATACAGAAATGTTGCTATTACAGGTTAATACAGTAGTTGACATCCATAAAATGTTTTGTCTACTACATTTACGACCAGCATAGGTTGCTAGGGACCAGTTCTATCCCAGAATCCCCACAGGGAGTGCAGTCCAAAATGAGTCTTACAGTCAAATGGCATCAATACACCATGGATGACGAGAGAAAACCATCCAGACCTTGATTACAGAGTCGGAAATGTCAGGGAAATAGTCCAAAAGCCACACCAGTAACTTCAGTTCATAGAAACATCTTAATTGGGATCCCGAACAATCTCGATCCCAATATCAGTACCGCCTCCATGGAACATTCAACTTAACTTTTCAACACGGGGGAGGGGACACACCAGTTGGGAATCGAACACAGGTCTTCGACGTGACAAGCAAACACTTTATCCACTAGGCAACCCAACCGTGACTCCCCCCCCCCTCTCTACAGAGAACAGACAGATACGGGAGGCAACTCTACTTACTCTTAATGTACACCTGTAGAGAATCGATCAGCTCTGAACTTATTGTGTCAACACATTGTACCCACGTCGGGAATGGAACCTGGGTCTTCGGCGTGACGAGTGAACGCTTTAACCACTAGGCTACCCGACAGTCCCCCTCTACAGAGAACAGACAGATCCAGGAGGCAACACTACTTACTCTTTATGTACACCTGTAGAGAATCGAGCAGATCCGAACTCATTGCGTCCACTCGGTCTCTTTCTGTCATGGTCAGATTCTCTGGAACAACATCATACAACACCATGAGGGACATCGTCGACATCTTGCAACAAGGAGGAAGTGACTGATGTAGAGTGAGTGAGAGAGTGAGTATGATCTTACGCCGCTTTCAGCAACATTCCAGCAATATCACGGCGGGGGGACACCAGAAATTGGTGTAGAGAAAGAGAATCAATAACAGGTGTTGTCTGACGTTGTTGTTGTTGTCTTTTTGCCAGTCAGAAATATCACAGCTGCCTGTAAACAATCAAGTCTGGGCAGGAAAATCCATGTGTGCATATGTGTGTGAGTGTGTGTGTGTGAGTATGCATGTGTGTGCATGTGTCTGGTGGATACCTCACACACAATATTCTGACTCGATCTGACCCCTCCTTCTTTTATCTTCTTAATGGTGAGTGCCAGCTATTCAGCAACACAAGACTCAAGAGGAATGCCATCTTACCACTGTTCAGCAACACAAGACTTGAGAGGAACGCCATCTTACCACTGTTCAGCAACACAAGACTTGAGAGGAACGCCATCTTACCACTGTTCAGCAACACAAGACTCAAGAGGAATGTCATCTTACCACTATTCAGCAACACAAGACTCAAGAGGAACGCCATCTTACCACCATTCACCAACACAAGACTTGAGAGGAACGCCATCTTACCACTGTTCAGCAACACAAGACTCAAGAGGAACGCCATCTTACCACTGTTCAGCAACACAAGACTCAAGAGGAACGCCATCTTACCACTGTTCAGCAACACAAGACTTGAGAGGAACGCCATCTTACCACTGTTCAGCAACACAAGACTTGAGAGGAACGCCATCTTACCACTGTTCAGCAACACAAGACTTGAGAGGAACGCCATCTTACCACTGTTCAGCAACACAAGACTCAAGAGGAACGCCATCTTACCACTGTTCAGCAACACAAGACTTGAGAGGAACGCCATCTTACCACTGTTCAGCAACACAAGACTCAAGAGGAACACCATCTTACCACTGTTCAGCAACACAAGACTCGAGAAGAACGCCATCTTACCACTGTTCAGCAACACAAGACTTGAGAGGAACGCCATCTTACCACTATTTAGCAACGCAAGACTTGAGAGGAATGCCATCTTACCACTATTTAGCAACAAAAGACTTGAGAGGAACGCCATCTTACCACTGTTCAGCAACACAAGACTTGAGAGGAACGCCAGCTCCGTGTCGTCAAAATTCTTTGATTTCACCATCATGCCAAAGTGGTGGAAGTGTTTTGGGATGATCTTAAACTGAGGGAAGTATCTCAGAATGGCTTCTTCCTCCTCTGGCGTGAAATCAAAGAAGCGGTACTCTTTTTTTTCGAGGTTGTAGAACTGACAATGGTTGAGGATACACAGAGAATATGTCGCCATCTGGATGAGTGACACCTGATCCTGGAGACTCAGTGATTGGAAGTCTGCAACAACAAATGTGGACTATCATTTTAACATTTTGGATGTTATATTGTCATGAGGATAGTTATATTGTTATTTAGATTGTTATATTGTTATTGGTATTGTTATATTGTTATTTGGATTGATATAATTTTATTTGGATTGATATATTAACATTTGGTTTGTCATTTTAACATTTGGGATGTTATTAGGGCTGCAACGATACAGGAAGGTCACGATACGATACGCATCTCGATATTCTGGTCACGATACGATACGTATCTCGATACGCAATGATAAAAAAACAAGACTTAAAGCATGTCAAGATTGAACCTTTCATGATTTTGGAACAGTCAAAATTAATTTATAATAACAGGACTACTGAAGTTGTTCAGCTTCAAAGTGGAACTTTCTCTAACTTTCCTTAAAAACAATTCAAAGTTCAAACACCAGAAAATAATTAATGTGCTCCACCAGTGATACAACGTCAAAGAATTTTGATGCAATGGTCGAAGAAATTGTATCTGAAATTATTGTTTTATCAGGAATAATATATTCCAATATCGTGTTACCTTAGTTGCAGCTTTTACTATATATGTATTTAAAATTATAAGAACCACAAGTGTAGCATGTTGGTACTGGTGATTGCTGTTGCAGGATAGTTTTACACATGGAACAATTTGACCAGTCACCCTAGGGACTTCCCGTGCTACATGTATTTCAATTGCGAAAACGTTTTGTTGACATATATGAGTCAAATTGCCATAAATATGACTTTTAACGAGTCAAAGTATGGCATTTTTAATATATGTATCCATTCTCTAGCAACTAAAGTTTGCTTCAATGCGTCAAAAGCGGTAATCTGACCGTGGTTGCTGTATCTCTTCACACACAATTTCACATAACTTAATGAAAACAATATAAAATGAAATTTTGAAAAAAAAACTATTAAAATATATTACAAACACAAGTCCAGATATACAATGAACACGTTTTAATAACAAGATAGTATGATAATGGTATTGAATTGCGTACTTCAGTTCGGATTTGCGGACAGGTATTACCATTGTTATGTGCTTGCGGGGATCAGCTGATAATGTTTTTTGAGATGGGGAAAAACATCTGTCGGTGTAAAACCTGAGCTTATTAAAAATGTAAGTACGTTTTTGGGAGCCATGCGTTACCGCGCGCTATAACCAAGTTAGCGGTTTATTGAAAGGCACAATAGCGAGGAAACGCTGTACTTGAGATTTGCGTTCCGTATCGATAAATTGGCCTACGTTTATTGTATATCGTATCGTGGGTCAAGTATCCCTATGCATCGGAATATCGGTGAATCGTTTCACCCTTAGATGTTATATTGTCTTTAGGATTGTTATGCTAACATTTGGATTGTTATATTGTTATTTGGATTGTTATATTGTTATTGGGATTGTTATATTTTGGATTGTCATATTAACATTTGGATTGTTATACTGACATTTGGATTGTTATACGAACATTTGGATTGTTATACTAACATTTAAATTTTTATATTGTTATTTGGATTGTTATATTGACATTTGGATTGTTACATTGTCATTTGGATTGTTATATTAACATTTGGATTGTTATATTGACATGTGGATTGTTATACTAACATTTGGAATTTTATACTAACATTTGGATTCTTATATTAACATTTGGATTGTAATACTAACATTTGGATTGTTAAACTAACATTTGGATTGTCATATTAACATTTGGATTGTCATACTAACATTTGGATTGTTATACTAAAATTTGGATTGTCATATTAACATTTGGATTGGCATACTAACATTTGGATTGTTACATTAATATTTTGATTATTATATCGACATTTGGATTGTTATATTAACATTTGGATTGTCATATTAACATTTGGATTGTTATATGCTAACATTTGGATTGTTATACTAACATTTGGATTGACCTATTAACATTTGGATTGACCTATTAACAATTGGATTGTTATACTAACATTTGGATCGTCATATTAACATTTGGATTGTTATTTTGACATTTGGATTGTTATATTAGCATTTGGATTGTCATATTAACATTTGGATTGTTATATTGTTATTTGGATTGTTATATTGACATTTGAATTGTCATATTAACATTTGGATTGTTATATGCTAACATTTGGATTTTTATAATAACATTTGGATCATCATATTAACATTTGGATTGTTATATTAACATTTGGATTGTTATATTAACGTTTGGATTGATATATTAGCAGCTGGATTGTCATATTAACATTTGGATGTCATATTAACATTTGGATTGTACAATTGACATTTGGATTGTTATATTGACATTTGGATTGATATATTAACATTTGGATTGTTATATTGTTATTTGGATTGTTATATTGACATGTTGATTGTTATATTGACATTTGGATTGTTATACTAACATTTGGATTGTCATACTAACATTTGGATTGTTATACTAAAATTTGGATTGTCATATTAACATTTGGATTGGCATTCTAACATTTGGATTGTTACATTAACATTTTGATTATTATATCGACATTTGGATTGTTATATTAACATTTGGATTGTCATATGCTAACATTTGGATTGTTATACTAACATTTGGATTGACCTATTAACATTTGGATTGACCTATTAACAATTGGATTGTTATACTAACATTTGGTTCGTCATATTAACATTTGGATTGTTATTTTGACATTTGGATTGTTATATTAGCAGTTGGATTGTCATATTACCATTTGGATTGTAAAATTGATATTTGGATTGTTATATTGACATTTGGATTGATATATTAACATTTTGATTGTTATATTGTTATTTGGATTGTTATATTGTTATTTGGATTGTTATATTGACATTTTGATTGTCATATTAACATTTGGATTGTTATAATAACATTTGGATCATCATATTAACATTTTGATTGTTATATTAACATTTGGATTGTTATATTGTTATTTGGATTGTTATATTGTTATTTGGATGGTTATTTGGATTGTTATATTGTTATTTGGATTGTTATATTGACATTTTGATTGTCATATTAACATTTGGATTGTCATATTAACATTTGGATTGTACAATTGACATTTGGATTGTTATATTAACATTTTGATTGTTATATTGTTATTTGGATTGTTATATTGTTATTTGGATTGTTATATTGTTATTTGGATTGTTATATTGACATTTTGATTATCATATTAACATTTGGATTGTCATATTAATATTTGGATTGTACAATTGACATTTGGATCGTTATATTAACATTTGGATTGTTATATTGTTATTTGGATTGTTATATTGTTATTTGGATTGTTATATTGTTATTTTGATTGTTATATTGACATTTTGATTGTCATATTAACATTTGGATTGTCATATTAACATTTGGATTGTACAATTGACATTTGGATTGTTATATTAACATTTGGATTGTTATATTGTTATTTGGATTGTTATATTGTTATTTGGATTGTTATATTGACATTTTGATTGTCATACTAACATTTGGATTGTCATATTAACATTTGGATTGTACAATTGACATTTGGATTGTTATATTGACATTTGGATTGATATATTAACATTTTGATTGATATATTAACATTTTGATTGTTATATTGACATTTTGATTGTTATATTGACATTTGGGTTGTTATACTAACATTTGGTTTGCCTATTCACATTTGGATTGTTATATTAACATTTGGATAGTGATATTTTATTTGAGTAGTGATACTAACATTTGGATTGTTATATTGTTATTTGGATTGTTATATTGTTATTTGGATTGTTATATTGACATTTTGATTGTCATACTAACATTTGGATTGTCATATTAACATTTGGATTGTACAATTGACATTTTGATTGTTATATTGACATTTGGATTGATATATTAACATTTGGATTGTTATATTGACATTTTGATTGTTTTATTGACATTTTGATTGTTATATTGACATTTGGGTTGTTATACTAACATTTGGTTTGCCTATTCACATTTGGATAGTTATATTAACATTTGGATAGTGATATTTTATTTGAGTAGTGATACTAACATTTGGATTGTTATATTGTTATTTGGATTGTTATATTGTTATTTGGATTGTTATATTGACATTTTGATTGTCATACTAACATTTGGATTGTCATATTAACATTTGGATTGTACAATTGACATTTGGATTGTTATATTGACATTTGGATTGTTATATTGACATTTGGGTTGTTATACTATCATTTGGTTTGCGTATTCTCATTTGGATTGTTATATTAACATTTGGATTGTTATACTAACATTTGGGTTGTTATACTAACATTTGGGTTGTTATACTAACATTTTGGTTGTCATATTCTCATTTGGATTGTTATATTAACATTTGGATAGTGATATTTTATTTGAGTGGTGATACTAACATTTGGATTGTCATATTGACATTTGGATAGTTATACTGACATTTGGATGGTTATATCGACATTTGGATTGTTATACTAACATTTGGATTTTCATATTAACATTTGGATTGTTATATTAACATTTGGATTGTTATTTTAACATTTGCATTGACATATTGGCATATAGATTGTCCCCCTGAGCCAGATTCACACAGATATCGCATTACTTACTGGGTAGTTTCTTGGAGAATTTGATGACACACTTGGCATTGAACTCAAAATGGACCATAATCGTCTTCCATGTGTTCTGCAGGTCGTTGCAGTTCAACTCGTAGTTGTTGAAGCAGATCTGCAGATAGAAATGAACCACATGGAAAGTCACAGTTAGTGTTCCAGTGAGTGGAAGTTGTTACATGCCAGTGAGAAATGTTCCAGTGAGTGGAAGTTGTTACATGCCAGTGAGAAATGTTCCAGTGAGTGAAAGTTGTTACATGCCAGTGAGAAATGTTCCAGTGAGTGGAAGTTGTAACATGCCAGTGAGAAATGTTCCAGTGAGTAGAAGTTGTTACATGCCAGTGAGAAATGTTCCAGTGAGTGGAAGTTGTTACATGCCAGTGAGAAATGTTCCAGTGAGTGGAAGTTGTTACATGCCAGTGAGAAATGTTCCAGTGAGTGGAAGTTGTAACATGCCAGTGAGAAATGTTCCAGTGAGTAGAAGTTGTTACATGCCAGTGAGAAATGTTCCAGTGAGTAGAAGTTGTTACATGCCAGTGAGAAATGTTCCAGTGAGTGGAAGTTGTTACATGCCAGTGAGAAATGTTCCAGTGAGTGGAAGTTGTTACATGCCAGTGAGAAATGTTCCAGTGAGTGGAAGTTGTTACATGCCAGTGAGAAATGTTCCAGTGAGTGGAAGTTGTAACATGCCAGTGAGAAATGTTCCAGTGAGTAGAAGTTGTTACATGCCAGTGAGAAATGTTCCAGTGAGTGGAAGTTGTTACATGCCAGTGAGAAATGTTCCAGTGAGTGGAAGTTGTTACATGCCAGTGAGAAATGTTCCAGTGAGTGGAAGTTGTTACATGCCAGTGAGAAATGTTCCAGTGAGTGGAAGTTGTAACATGCCAGTGAGAAATGTTCCAGTGAGTGGAAGTTGTTACATGCCAGTGAGAAATGTTCCAGTGAGTGGAAGTTGTTACATGCCAGTGAGAAATGTTCCAGTGAGTGGAAGTTGTTACATGCCAGTGAGAAATGTTCCAGTGAGTGGAAGTTGTTACATGCCAGTGAGAAATGTTCCAGTGAGTGGAAGTTGTTACATGCCAGTGAGAAATGTTCCAGTGAGTGGAAGTTGTTACATGCCAGTGAGAAATGTTCCAGTGAGTGGAAGTTGTTACATGCCAGTGAGAAATGTTCCAGTGAGTGGAAGTTGTTACATGCCAGTGAGAAATGTTCCAGTGAGTGGAAGTTGTTACATGCCAGTGAGAAATGCTCCAGTGATATCATGGTGGCCTGTAAGTATGTCATCAGGTTTTATATCAGAATATGTATACATGTGAAACCGAATAGGCTAATCAAAGAGTGAGTGAGTGAGTGAGTATGGTTTTACACTACTTTTCGCAATATATTCCAGCAATATCATGGCAGAGGACACCGGAAATGGGCTTTACACATTGTACCCACGTGGGGAGTTGAGCCCGGGTCTTAGGCGTGACGAGTGAACACTTTAACCACAATAAATCAAATAAATACTTTTTGAAACATTATCCTAGCCATGCAAAGACTTTATTGCTCTGGCTGCATCAACTGCTCCCATGCTGAATAACTTATTGTAATCCTCTGACCTTAGTATCTAAATGACCTTGACCTACTTTGTTGGGCATGTTGAGTGAACTAAGTTCATTCCATGCCTCCTTGACCAGTTTGATGGTGTTGTCAATGACTTCCATGTCAAGTTTCTTCTTAACCAGTGGCAGGGTGGTCTTGCGGTGCACCCTGGTGAAGGCAGCGATATCTAGAGGGATGGGTGGTGGTGAGGGGTCTTTGGCCACTGGATCTGCATCACTGGTTCGCTTCCCTTGCTTCCGGGCCTCTATCGAGATCGCATGTTTAATTGCATTGGGTTGCCGACCAATTCGACTTGCTGAAATAGAGAAATGGCGACATTACAAAATCATAAGTCAAATTTGCATGTTTAATTGCATTGGGTTGCCGACCAATTCGACTTGCTGAAATAGAGAAATGGCGACATTACAAAATCATAAGTCAAATTTGCCTGTTTAATTGCATTGGGTTGCCGACCAATTCGACTTGCTGAAATAGAGAAATGGCGACATTACAAAATCATAAGTCAAATTTGCCTGTTTAATTGCATTGGGTTGCCGACCAATTCGACTTGCTGAAATAGAGAAATGGCGACATTACAAAATCATAAGTCAAATTTGCATGTTTAATTGCATTGGGTTGCCGACCAATTCGACTCGCTGAAATAGAGAAATGGCGACATTACAAAATCATAAGTCAAATTTGCATGTTTTATTGCATTGGGTTGCCGACAAATTTGACCTGCTGAAATAGAGAAATGGCGACATTACAAAATCATAAGTCAAATTTGCATGTTTTATTGCATTGGGTTGATGACCCATTCGACTTGCTGAAATAGGGAAATGGCATGAGCATCGATCGATGCAATTGGGATACGATGTCATGTCCTCAACCAAGTCACCGGGCCGGACCATCCAAATCATTTGGTTGCCTCTTAGGACAAGTATAGTTGCCGTAGACCTTTATTCCTACCAAGAAATCCCCATGGACGGGGAGTATTCTATTGAGTGAGTCAGCGAGCGAGACTACTGACTATTGGTCCACTTCAGTCAAATAATTATAGATTTACCAATAATAACCTGGCAAATATCAAAGCAATGTTGGATATTAATATTCTATTCTATGCAGGAGTTTGGTTATCTTTGCCATAGCAGTGTACATTATTACGGAGAGACCTATTTGGAAATAGAACTGGCATCTAGAACTAAATGTAAACACGTTACTTAGGCCACGAATTCAGTTAGTCCAATATATCTTAGAAGTTTAGGACCAAACATGATTCCACAATCGATCTGTATTACAAGAAGATTAGTAAGATTTGACATGATTCTGTCATGGGGACCTAACAAGGCGAGTTTGATAAAAACCACCACCAATGAGCATGTAGAGCTACCCAGGAAGGTTTCTCTATCATGGGTTAAGGCAGGTAGACTGACCAGAAGGATGGATGAGGACTGTATAGCAAGTGTTTCTCTGATACATGGGAACGTACAATATCCCATAGTTGTTCATGAATCTGGTAGACCTTCTGCCCCACCGCCTTGCCCCACCACCTTGCCCCACCACCTTGCCCCACCGCTACTCAAACAGCTGCTGTCAGCGATGTAAAGTTAATTCATCCATCTGTTCTGCAGAGACAGGAGAACATTGAAATGTCGCAATTTTAGAAATATAAGTGACCTCAGACCTACTAGTGTCCTATTGTATAAATGTTTCATGTTATATTGTATACAAGATGTTACCTTTACCATGTTTACAACATGTTTTATGCTTATGTACTTACCTATATGCATTTCTATAATGTATACGAATGTGTATACCTACAATATGATAAAAGCATGTATTGAATTTCATGAGAGGACATATATCTGTTATATGTTACAGGTATGTTGAATAAGGTGCATTGCATCGCCGGTTTCATTGGTTGTTTGAAAGTGTCGAACATGTTGGTAGATGCAGATGTCTCCTACAATAACACTTGTGAGCACTTTTACCATCAGGAATATGGATGTTGTGGCAATTTGATGACTTGAATTTTTGTTGATAGATTGCATGTGCAATCACTGCCCAATGAGACATTCTACAATATTCTATATAAGTGCATGTCCAGTGACTTAATAATAAGTTGATGTTGTTTTGATTTTGAAAAAAAGAATTATTGTGATTTTTGCCTGAAGAAAAATGCTCAAATGTCTATTTATCATGTTTATAAGATCAAATTGTTGAGGAAATGTTTTTATCAATCAAATTACCAATCTGCTTCTGCTATATCTTTACAAAGAAGAATTGTTTGATCATGATTCTGCCTTAGCCTTGACATGTTACTATTTTCTGATAGGTACAACCCAAGACAGATCCTACCTGAGACATCCTAGGTTCATGAACTATTTAGAAAGTTAACGGAGTTATTTTAGACAAGAAGAGTTTGATAGCACAAACAGAATCTGCCACTTTGGGAATGGAAATTAGCTTCTATTGAAATAAGTGTATGAGTCATTTCGGTATGTATTTAAACATTATTTCGGTAGGAGGAACTAAAACTATCATCGATAGTATTTTGTTAGTTGTCCGAGAGTGGTGTGGGGATTCAGAAACTCACAGCTGAACAGAGAGGTTCTCTCTGTAGATTGAAAGATTGGATCAGAAAAAATACTAGAGTTGAGAGTGGATAAAAAATACTATCAGGCTCTTCGATGCATCCATTAGGTATGTGTTATATATAAGTAAGTCAGGCTACAAGAAACTATCTGAGGACCTTGTCAGTACATTTGTGAAAACTTCCATCATAAATAAATGGACTTGAGCAAACGAAACTGACTTGTGCTTTGGAGCTACATCACCTTGGAACCAAGGAGTGGTTGAGAGGAGAAAGTCACCTAGGCAGAAGGGTATAATATCTGAATCCTAAGGTTACACATACCCCCATCCCCGCCCCTCACCCGAATTTTTTAAGACCATTCCATTGCATTTTTTATTTTTTTTTAAATATTTGATCATATTTTTACGAGGAAGATGATTTTTTCCCCCCGAGGACTACGGTTTAAAAAAACGCGATTTATCCGAGTTTCGGCTGATAAATTTACATCCCTGAACAGTTGGTTTTACATGGCAGTCAGCAATATTTCAACTATAAGCTTGTAAGTAAAATTGAGCCCGGCAAACCAGTGATAGATGTTATGAGTCCCACACAGTCAGAGTATGATGACATGTAATGAACCTAATCACAAATTGATCATCCAGTTCATCTTAGTAGCCATTATGACAAGGAAGAGTCATATTCCAACCCACGTCCCTAGTGGCTGTTCCCCCCAAAATGAGGATGTTGGTTTGAACTCAAACTGTTTACATTTAAAAATTAAATTTGAAATGAAACATAAAGTCGCACCTTCGACTGACATGCCGGCGTCCAGGCACTTTCTGTAGCGACAAGCCTTGCATACATTGCGAGTCAGCATGCTGATCTCACACCTGTCCTCCTTGGAACACTTGTACGAGTGCCATTCACGCTCCTTCGCCATTCGCCGAAAGAAGCCCTGCAGTCCAAGAAGCAGAGTGATCCAACACATTCGGCAGAGGTGGGGCAACATTCTCAGAGGTCAAAATATAGGATGAAAGACAAGAACATTGTACCTGCATGTCAGGAAATGATTTGTGTGTTTGTTTGTTTTTTGTTTAACACCTCACTCAGCAATGTTCCAGCTATATGACGGCGGTCTGTAAATATTCGAGTCTGGACCAGACAATCCAGTTATTGATATCAGGAGCATCAATCCACGCAATTGGGATACGATGACATGCGTCAACAAAGTCAGCCAGTCTGACCACCCCACACCTCATACAACAAGCAAAGTTGCCTGTTACGGAAAGCATGGGTTGCTGAAGACCTATTCTAAACAAGATCTTCATGGGTCGTCTGGAAATGAGGCTCTGAGTGAGTGAGTGTGTGAGTGAGTGAGAGTTGTTTTATGTAAATAATCCAGTATTGTCTGGCAAACTAGTGGTTGATAACATGAGCAAAAAACACAACAGGGACAAATTAAGTAATCTATAGTTAAATGATAGGAGGGATATTTAGCTCACCTTACAACCCTCACAAGTGAGGGCTCCGAAGTGAAAGCCCGACGAGGCTCCACCACAGACGCGGCAAGGAATGTTAGATATGCCTGCGACAGCATCCTTCCCATGGCTGTCACCTGAAACAGAGTGAGCGAGTGAGCGAGTGAGTGAGTGAGTGAGTGAGTGAGTGAGGTGAAATGGGGTTAACATCGCGTTGCGTTGATTATTGCAATTATAAAGTGACATGTGCGTGCATAAGTGCATTGAATGAATTATAAAAATACCCCTGATTTTAAGAAAGGAAAAAAAGGCAATACCAATTTTGAACCAAATTAAGTGTGTTTTTCCCAATGTGTCTGCCATGGGCCCTTAGCTTGGGATCCTTGATAAATCCTTGCTAGGTGAGGTGATGACGGACAGTGGGAGAGGGGAAGTGTTACCTGCAGCTAAACTGGAACATACCGCTAATGAGCACTGATACAACATACTAATATACTGAACTGCAAAAGAAACATCACCATGGATAGATATATGAGAAACCTTATTTGTCCAAACACTGTAAACATACTTTGAGACATATTAATTAGATGAAACTTGGCAAAACTTATCGTCAAGGTTGAAATTAAAGTGTAAAATGTTCTTAAAGTGAAACACAACACTAGTCTCTGAGAAAATGTCATCACAAGTCAGTATCTCGTGTGTCTGCCATGTGCATTGATGACTGCCATGCAACGTCGATACGTGGAATGGATGAGGTGGTTGATGAAGGCAATAGGCACTTGAGCCCACACTCTGAGGAATGCCTGACGCAGTTCAGCTGCAGTTGTCGGCCTTGGTCGGACATCAGTCAGCTATCTTTGAATCTCGTGCCACAGGTGCTCAATGGGATTTAAATCGGGGCTGAGGGCAGTCCACTGCATGGTTCTGATGCCGTTCTGCTGGAGGAAGTCTCTTGTTGCTCTCATAGTGTGGGCTTGGGCGTTATCAACTCGTAGTTGCGGCGATGTGCCAAATGAGGTATGGCATGTGGTCTCAAGACCTGATCATTACCTCTCCCTGGACCGATGTTCCGGAAGACCACAGGGCCGACCCTCTGTGCAAGACCAATTCCACCCCACACCATGATGCTCGGACCACCCCACGAGTCCCTCTCAACAACACAAGCATCTGAAAAACGTTCCCCATGGCGTCGCCAGACTCTCTCTCTGCCATCTACTGTTGAGATAAAGTAACAGCGCTCATCTGAGAAGAGGACTCTTCTCCACCACTTGTGGCCCTAATGCTGGTGCTGTGTTGCCCACTGAAGACGGTCCCGGCATCAGAATGGGTCCTCGGTGTGGCCTGTGACAGTGGAGGTGTCTGCTTGTCAATCATCGACACACAGTGTCCACACTCATGGGTCGAGGAGTTTCCGCAGCAGTAACAAAGCGGCTCTGGAGATGCTGTCGCACAATCGGATGATCCTGACGTCAGTTGGTGACCCTTGGTCTTCCGCTATGTGTTCGTTCATCTGTAGTGTTGGTGGTCTGGTACTGTTGCTGGAGCCTGTATATGGTCCTTACGTGGACTTGAAATGCATTGGCTACTTGCCGGGCGGTTGGTCCAGCTTGCAATCGTCCAAGGGCTTGGTGTCGCTGATTTCTTGTCAATCTTGGCATGTGGTAGCAATTCAATAACGAATGAATGTTATACGATCTGGGTGGATTTTTACAGGGCAAGGGATGGTAGAAAGCATGTGCATTTCAATTTGCATGGAACTCACATGCATCGGGTTACCATGGCCGTTGCCGTGATGCATTTGGGCGATCGGTTTTATTGTCATCTGCTTTGTTTTTTATCATCAAATTCATTTTTACGGACAAGGTAATGTCAAATTTTAGAATCTTAGACAAAAATTACCTAGATATTTAAATGTTCAGTAGTTCTCACAGTCTGACTGCATAATATTCCAAGAGGACTGACATGGACCACTGACTTTACACTTTGAAGGATCAATATATACCAATGTTAGTGATTATGTTGTGTTTATCATTTATGAATTATGAATTTTTATGGTACACTTTCCGATTGATAACGGCTCAAATGCCCTTAGACCATGATAGATCTGATTACTTGCCGGTCACTAGATCAGTGTGCAGTCGAGTTTCATTCTCATCTTCCTTGAGAGCATATAACCCAAGCAGCCATCTCCTCCGAACAGGTACCCATTTCTTGCTGGGAGAACAGGCATATTTGGAAGAAAGTCACTTGCCTTCAGAGCCATGGAAACTCACAGGAGCCAAGCCACCGAACACAGTCACCAATTTAACTACTCTTGCAATTTTAGAATCAACTTTTAAACACTGTTTCATATGACACACCTCAATTCACACAGGATTCGGTTTCATTGTTCCTCTCCATGTCAACATTTTGGTCTAGGATTTCAACGACACACAAACTTTTGGTCCTTTAGGTTGAACAAACACATTATTTCCCTCAAGGTGTTTTAGAGAAATCTCTCTTAGCCACGGATGTGTTGTTATGGCAACATTGTAATGGCTTGCAGCATGACGTGGGAGAGGCATCTTGATTTCCCTGACAAGAAAACCAAGCCGCTGCTAGCTCCACCATCACAGAGGAAACGAGAGAAGGCAATAATGAAATCCATTTCCTTCCACAACACATTTAGACCACGACGTTTAGACCACGACGTTTAGACCACGACGTTTAGACCACGACGTTTAGACCACGACATTTAGACCACGACGTTTAGACCATGACGTTTAGACCACGACGTTTATACCATGACGTTTAGACCACGACGTTTAGACCACGACGTTTATACCATGACTTTTGGACCATGATGTTTATACCATGACATGTTTATACCCTGACATGTTTATACCCTGACATGTTTATACCCTGATGTTTATACCATGACATGTTTATACCATGTCATATGTCGTGGTGGCACATGGTCTTGTGCACAGCGCACAGATCACTAATCAGGTGAAGTTAAGCAACGTCGGTCTCGGAGGGTAGTTGGATGGGTGACCACCTGAGCTTGACTCCTGAGAGTTTCTAGGGCCTCGGTCCTGCCCCACACTGAAGCACATGTACCACATGTGGTGTCTCCTTAGGCAAGTGACTTTGTTCTAAATGTGCCTCTGTTCACCCAGCAGTGAGTGGGTACCCGGTAGGATGAGATGGTAATGTGGCTGTTAACCTTCTAGCGCCTCACAGGCAGCTTGGGTTGTATACTCCCCAGGGAGCTGAGAATGAAATTGACCGGGGTAATAATAGTGTAGCGCTATGAGCATCCACTTGGTGAATGGAATATGGTGCATTATAAATACACTTATTATTATGACATGTTTGACATAGATTGTCACTTTCTGCTAGGTCACATCAAGTACCGACGTAGCATGTATAGATAGATTGTCACTGTCTGCTAGGTCACATCAAGTACCGACATAGCATAAAGATTGTCACTGTCTGCTAGGTCACATCAAGTACCGACATAGCATAAAGATTGTCACTGTCTCCTAGGTCACATCAAGTACCGATGTAGTATATCAAGATTGTTACTGTCTCCTAGGTCACATCAAGTACCGACGTAGTATATATACATTGTCACTGTCTGCTAGGTCACATCAAGTACCGACGTAGTATATATAGATTGTCACTGTCTCCTAGGTCACATCAAGTACCGACGTAGTATATCAAGATTGTCACTGTCTCCTAGGTCACATCAAGTACCGATGTAGTATATCAAGATTGTCACTGTCTCCTAGGTCACATCAAGTACCAACGTAGTATATAAAGATTGTCACTGTCTCCTAGGTCACATCAAGTACCGACGTAGTATATAAAGATTGTCACTGTCTCCTAGGTCACATCAAGTACCGACGTAGCATATATAGATTGTCACCGTCTGCTAGGTCACATCAAGTACCGACGTAGTATATATACATTGTCACTGTCTCCTAGGTCACATCAAGTACTGACGTAGTATATATACATTGTCACTGTCTGCTAGGTCACATCAAATACTGATGTAGCATATACAGATTGTCACCGTCTGCTAGGTCACATCAAATACCGATGTAGTATATATACATTGTCACTGTCTGCTAGGTCACATCAAATACTAATGTAGCATATACAGATTGTCACCGTCTGCTAGGTCACATCAAATACCGATGTAGTATATATACATTGTTACTGTCTGCTAGGTCACATCAAATACTGATGTAGCATATACAGATTGTCACCGTCTGCTAGGTCACATCAAATACCGACGTAGTATATATACATTGTCACTGTCTGCTAGGTCACATCAAATACTGATGTAGTATATATAGATTGTCACTGTCTGCTAGGTCACATCAAGTACCGACGTAGTATATATACATTGTCACTGTCTCCTAGGTCACATCAAGTACTGACGTAGCATATACAGATTGTCACCGTCTGATAGGTCACATCAAATACCGATGTAGTATATATACATTGTCACCGTCTGCTTGGTCACATCAAGTACCGACGTAGTATATATACATTGTCACTGTCTGCTAGGTCACATCAAATACTGATGTAGTATATATAGATTGTCACTGTCTGCTAGGTCACATCAAATACCGACGTAGTATATATACATTGTCACTGTCTCTTAGGTCACATCAAGTACCAATGAGCATATAGAGATTGTCACCGTCTGCTAGGTCACATCAAATACCGATGTAGTATATATACATTGTCACCGTCTGCTAGGTCACATTAAGTACCGATGTAGTATATATACATTGTCACTGTCTGCTAGGTCACATCAAATACTGATGTAGTATATATAGATTGTCACTGTCTGCTAGGTCACATCAAATACCGACGTAGTATATATACATTGTCACTGTCTGCTAGGTCACATCAAGTACCGATGTAGTATATATAGATTGTCACTGTCTCCTAGGTCACATCAAATACCGACGTAGTATATATACATTGTCACTGTCTCCTAGGTCACATCAAGTACCGATGTAGTATATATACATTGTCACCGTCTCCTAGGTCACATCAAGTACCGACGTAGTATATATAGATTGTCACCGTCTCCTAGGTCACATCAAGTACCGATGTAGTATATATACATTGTCACTGTCTGCTAGGTCACATCAAGTACCGATGTAGTATATATAGATTGTCACTGTCTGCTAGGTCACATCAAATACCGATGTAGTATATATACATTGTCACTGTCTGCTAGGTCACATCAAGTACCGATGTAGTATATATAGATTGTCACTGTCTGCTAGGTCACATCAAATACCGACGTAGTATATATACATTGTCACTGTCTCCTAGGTCACATCAAGTACCGATGTAGTATATACAGATTGTCACCGTCTGCTAGGTCACATCAAGTACCGATGTAGTATATACAGATTGTCACCGTCTGCTAGGTCACATCAAGTACCGACGTAGTATATATAGATTGTCACCGTCTCCTAGGTCACATCAAGTACCAATGTAGTATATACAGATTGTCACTGTCCGCTAGGTCACATCAAGTACCGACGTAGTATATATAGATTGTCACCGTCTCCTAGGTCACATCAAGTACCGACGTAGTATATATAGATTGTCACCGTCTGCTAGGTCACATCAAGTACCGATGTAGTATATATACATTGTCACTGTCCGCTAGGTCACATCAAGTACCGAAGTAGTATATATACATTGTCACCGTCTGCTAGGTCACATCAAATACCGATGTAGTATATATACATTGTCACTGTCTGCTAGGTCACATCAAGTACCGACGTAGTATATATACATTGTCACCGTCTGCTAGGTCACATCAAATACCGATGTAGTATATATACATTGTCACTGTCTCCTAGGTCACATCAAGTACCGATGTAGTATATATACATTGTCACCGTCTGCTAGGTCACATCAAATACCGACGTAGTATATATAGATTGTCACTGTCTCCTAGGTCACATCAAGTACCGACGTAGTATATATACATTGTCACTGTCTGCTAGGTCACATCAAGTACCGACGTAGTATATATACATTGTCACTGTCTGCTAGGTCACATCAAGTACCGACGTAGTATATATAGATTGTCACTGTCCGCTAGGTCACATCAAGTACCGATGTAGTATATATACTTTGTCACTGTCTGCTAGGTCACATCAAATACTGATGTAGTATATATAGATTGTCACTGTCTGCTAGGTCACATCAAATACTGATGTAGTATATATAGATTGTCACTGTCTGCTAGGTCACATCAAATACTGATGTAGTATATATAGATTGTCACTGTCTGCTAGGTCACATCAAATACTGACGTAGTAGCGACTATCATGATGAAGAAGCACCTCGACCTGCAGGTTACAAAACTTGCACACCAGAAACATGTAATATGACCTCCTGTGACGCTACCAGGCAAGCTGACCTCAACAATATCTTTGTTTGTTGTTTGTTTGTTGTTTAAAGCAGCAGTCAGCAATATTCCATCTATATGACCGTTGTATGTAAAACCAGACAATCCAGTGAATGACATAATGTGCATCAATCCACACAATTGGGATGCACTTGGGACATGCATTAACTAAGTCAGCGAGGCTGAGCACCCAATCCTGTTTGTCGCATGGGTTGCTGAAGTTGCTCTAGTTATCCTCATAAGTTTGGATGTAACATTACTTACTCTTTGGGAAAACACATTCCCAATGTAGTATATTTTTAAAGCACAAGGTCCTATGCCTCTAGATACCTAACAAATTTATAAGCACATCCTGGCTAATGACCTTCACCTTCACTTTCTGCCCTGAGGTGCCCACAAATTTCAAAATGAAAGCGTATATGTGGCATTGTTTTTGTAAAGTAAAGTTACTGTAAATGCAGTAAGAATTCATTTAACATGTGAATGACCTTGACATTTGTCATGTGGCATTGGAAAACACATTGGGAGTTTTGCCATCTCATAAGCAACACTCTGATTGGTCAGATGAAAGGTCATTCTGACGTGACCTGTAATGGGATGTACTCAGATCTGTGTGTAGCGGCAGCAACTGCTAAGATCAGGGAGGCTGGGAGGCCGGTTGTTACCTGGGCTGTACATGTGGAGGGTAAGACACTTTTGGTATCGGCAATGCTGGCAACGAACACGTGTCTCCTTTGTGATGACACAATCTTCTGACTTATGACACACAAACTTGACCTTCTCCTGGCGTGATGCTCGCACAAAGAATTTCTGAAAAGGAAACGGACTGTACAGTGCATTGAATGACTGGCACAACTAGCTGACATTGCTGAAACACTATGACAGTACAACACAAAACATTGTGCGACATTTATACAGTATTCTTGGTAGGCATTTGAAATAATGACATGTACATCTGTCAATTACACACTGCCAAGTTTGTGTTTCTACAATATTTAAAGTATGCATGGTAATAGATTAATACAGTGGAAACATAATAATACTATGTAAATAGATTAATACTGTGGTAACAAATTAATACAGTGATAATACAATAATACTATGGGAACAAGTTAATACTGTGGAAACAAATTTAAACTGTGGAAATAGATCAATACATGGGAAATAGATTAATACAGTGGCAATAGATTAATACAGTGGCAACAGATTAATACATCAGCAATAAATTAATACAGTGGAAACAGATTAATACAGTGGAAATAGATTAATACAGTGGCAACAGATTAATACATCAGCAATAAATTAATACAGTGGAAACAGATTAATACAGTGGCAATAGATTAATACAGTGGCAATAAATTAATACAGTGGCAATAACTTAATACAGTGGCAGTAAATTAATACAGTGGCAATAGATTAATACAGTGGCAATGCATGAATACAAATAGACTAACGGATAGTGGTTCAAAATCACAAACAGAAGGCTGGAAATGTGTTTTTCTTTCTCCAACTGTGACATCCTTTTTTTTAGCATCACAATGAACATGATGAACACTGCGACATCATTGCTTGGGGTTGCTTGTCAGAACCATGCATGGTGTTCATGTAGATATTGTTGATGTTGGACTTGAAATGCTGGAGCTAAACACACGTCACGGTTTCTCCTGTACACCAGTAACAAACACGGAGGGAACACAAGCAATGTCTGAGGATATGCAGCTGCAGGTCAAGAGGCTACTATCACTTTTTTCTTAATTTGACAATAAACTCAAAACATCATACTCAATCTAAGCCAGTTTAAAAATTACCTTTGTTAACCCCCCAAAAGTCCGATTTAATTTCAATTTTGTCATGGTAGCAAACTGAGTTTTCAATGTGTAGCCACGACGGGGGCTGAAAAGTTCTAAGCCTGACTATGAGCCAAGACGTATATAGATGTATATACATCTTTGCTATGAGGGACCGCGTTGATGGAGTGGGTTCTTCGTTACTTTTCAACACTATCCCCTCTGAGATGACACCTGCCATTGATGCTCGATCCCCCTGGTGGAGAAGGCTTTCTGCTGGCATAATCATGATAATGCTTGCCAATTGCGTGGATTACAGACCTGGTGACAACGACATGTGCACAACACGCTTGGTGAACAACACACATTTAGTGAGTTACAAACAACGTTTCGCCTTGCAATTCTTGTGTAGATCATGTAGATACCTCAACAGATTAGCATAATATTTGCCATTAATGATCTATCTGACCCAATCTCATTAAAATCAGATCTTAGTTCTCGCTACCGCTAAACAAAGATCAGAGGACAGCCTATTTCGTGTTACGTCAGACCGACCTTTTGCGAATTTTGCCTAACCAATGGAATGACTAACAAGAAGTTGACATTAGCCAATCAGACTACGCTTTGCAATTTTTGTTGACAAAGTCTCTATGAAAAATTTGAAAATGGAACAGATGAACATAATAGATAATAGACGGCCCAAATTGTTCGGATTCAGTCATAAAGCCTGTAACTGTAGTTCGGAATACCCAGTGTTAAATCTTTCTTAGTTGCATGACTAGAAATCACATTCTGACTGTCACTTTCATGATCTGGTAAGTGAGGCTCTGATTGGTCAGATGAAAGGTCGTGACCCGTAATGGGATGTCCTCAGATCTTTGTTGAGCGGTATTGAGAAGTGAGATCTGATTTTAATGAGATTCAATCTGAACTTACGGGAGGTTGTCCGACACATGGATTACTTTGGAATCCCAGACAAGCGAACTTCTGCAGAGGAGAAGACGTTACAACTTTCCACAGCTTTCACTGTTGTTTCGTCTCTGATCGAGAGTTGAAAACCCAGGACAGTCCCTAAGCAGGAAAGTTAATGTACTTAATCCATGCAAGCTGTTCAGGGTGTACTATACATCCTTCACAGTTAGGCTCAGAACTTTTCAGCCACCCCTTGAATGTTATCTGTAGATTTCACAGCACCTAATGCAACTTGTAACAACCCACGCGTTAGTTCCAAATTCAATACGGCCCCATCCAAGATACAAAAAAAAATAATGCAGCTCTAATGAAAGGACTGTACCATTATCTCCTTCTTATTAGCATGATTAATGGCGATTATCAAGTTTCCTATTTCCGGGACAACCTCCTTACTGCAGGGCCTTGAGTTACACAGCCCTAATCATGGCAGTAATCACATGTCCCTTCTGATGGCTTGTACAGGTGTGTCAACACTTGTTGCAGCGCTAGACAGTGCCAATAGTCATGTAGTCCTTGCATAACTTCCCAACAGTTAAGATATCAAAAGGACTAGTAGAAATTTGCTATTTCTAAGGGTTTTCCAATATGCTATCATTATAAGGACTAGAGGACCAAAACTGTAAGTTTCTGTCACTGTGATCATGGTGATGCTTCTGCTCTGACACATCTGTGACTAGTAATTGATTTCTTGAGGAGAATATCTTCTCTCTTTTCATCTCAAGACATGTCTGACAAATACTGATTAGACCCTCAGGATATTTGTAACTCCACGATTTTCAGGTGAAACTGAAGTAAGAATCACAACTAGTTAGTGACATAGACGCACACAACAGTCTGAGAGTATCAGAAGCTGAGGCTGTATCGCCATCACCACAATCTTAACATTTTCACATTAGCACCTAAACTTAAAATGGTGAAAGAAAATAATAACAGGCAAAAACAGAACCAGACTCATCCCCACCTTTTCCTGTTTGTTTGTTTGATTGTTTGTTTAACGCCACACAATATGCAATCCAATATACTGCTTCCTGATTATACTTCACTTTATGTAGTAGTTGAAGATCCCTTGACGACAAGTAGAAAACGTAATGGTGATCTCTAAAGAATTGCAGAATGGGCTGATATATGGTCAGTCGCGTTTAACCTTTGTTTGTGGTTTAACGCCGCACTCAGCAATATTCCAGCTATATGAGGGCGGTCTGTAAATAACGAATCTGGACCAGACAATCCAGTGACTGACATCATGAGCATCAATCCACGCAATTTGAATATGATGACATGCATAAACCAAGTCAGCGAGCCTGACCTGGCCTTTTACAACAAGCATGGGTTGCTGAAGACCTATTCGACTCCGGATCTTCATGGGTCACCTTTTCCTGAATGCTCCAAAACTTTATATAGAACTCATATATCATACCCTATTGTGACTTAACCAAATCAGGTGACAGTTGACCTCGCATATGGCCAAAGCAGTACAGCTTTGAAACATGAAGGTCAATGCCTTAGCTACCTTAGTAACAAAGTTATAAGCTCTTCTGGTTTAATAACATCAATAATTAATGTTTTGGAAAAAACACATTACCTATGTGAACTTTGAAACAGAAAGTGCCATGCATGTAGCTACCTAAATAGCAAAATTATAAGCCTTCAATTGACCTTCAATTTTAACCATGAACTGCCTAAAGATGTGTATATAAAGCGTTGTCAAATTCCAATCAGTAATAGGCAAGATATAGCTTACACAAGCTTCTTCGAACGTCTGTTTCAAACCGAGTGATCTTGACCTTCAATATCATCCAATCACATGCAAGATTTTTTTGTTTTGTTTGTTGTTTAATGCCACACTCAGCAATATTCCAGCTATAAGAAAGCGATTTGTACATAATCAAGTCTAGATCAGACAATCCAGTGAATGACATCATGAGCATTGATCCACGCAATTGGGACACAATGACATGCATCAACCAAGTCAGCAAGCCTGACCACCCGACCCCACTAGTCGCCTCTTACGACAAGCATGGTCGCTTTTTTACGGCAAGCATGGGTTGCTGAAGACCTATTCTAACCCGGGTCTTCACGGGTCTCACATGTGAGAACTAACATGACGAAGATGATGTCACAAATATGAAATACCTATACAGTAAGACTCGACTGACAATACTTCTCAGTGAAACTATTTACAAGTCATTTCATGAGTGAGTGAGTGAGTGAGTGAGTATGGTTTTACGCCGCTTTTAGCAATATTCCAGCAATATCACGGCGGGGGACACCAGAAATGGGCTTCACACATTGTACCCATGCCGGGAATCGAACCCTGGTCTTCGGCGTGACGAGCGAACGCTTTAACCACTAGGCTACCCGACCGCCCCCATTTCATGAGTGAATGAATGACCTTTAAAGTGATCACATTTGAAACAATATGCAACATGTTAGATGTTGAGTTTCTTAGAATTCTTTATAACAAATTGCAAAAAAAATTGACTTTTCATAAATTTATCTGAAATATTGTGACATCTGAACCATGTTTAATAATTTGACCTCCAGTGATCTTGACCGAATATGGATATAATGAAGGTCACCCAAAAGTGAATGTGATCCAGATCAATGCCTTTGAGAATATGTAAAGTGAATGTGATCCAGATCAATGCCTTTGAGAATATGTAAAGTGAATGTGATCCAGATCAATGCCTTTGAGAATATGTAAAGTGAATGTGATCCAGATCAATGCCTTTGAGAATATGTAAAGTGAATGTGATCCAGATCAATGCCTTTGAGAATATGTAAAGTGAATGTGATCCAGATCAATGCCTTTGAGAAGATGTACACAACATTTGATCAAAGTCCATTCACAACTATTCAAGATGTCCCTGGCTGGCAGGGTTAGTGTTAGGGTTGTCCCTGGCTGGCAGGGTTAGGGTTAGGGTTAGGGTTGTCCCTGGCTGGCAGGGTTAGGGTTAGGGTTAGGGTTGTCACTGGCTGGCAGGGTTAGGGTTAGGGTTGTCCCTGGCTGGCAGGGTTAGGGTTAGGGTTAGGGTTGTCCCTGGCTGGCAGGGTTAGGGTTAGGGTTGTCACTGGCTGGCAGGGTTAGGGTTAGGGTTGTCACTGGCTGGCAGGGTTAGGGTTAGGGTTAGGGTTGTCACTGGCTGGCAGGGTTAGGGTTAGGGTTGTCCCTGGCTGGCAGGGTTAGTGTTAGGGTTGTCACTGGCTGGCAGGGTTAGGGTTAGGGTTAGGGTTGTCCCTGGCTGGCAGGGTTAGTGTTAGGGTTGTCACTGGCTGGCAGGGTTAGGGTTAGGGTTAGGGTTGTCCCTGGCTGGCAGGGTTAGGGTTAGGGTTAGGGTTGTCCCTGGCTGGCAGGGTTAGTGTTAGGGTTGTCACTGGCTGGCAGGGTTAGGGTTAGGGTTAGGGTTGTCCCTGGCTGGCAGGGTTAGGGTCAGGGTTAGGGTTGTCACTGGCTGGCAGGGTTAGGGTTAGGGTTGTCACTGGCTGGCAGGGTCAGGGTCAGGGTTAGGGTTGTCCCTGGCTGGCAGGGTTAGGGTTAGGGTTGTTCCTGGCTGGCAGGGTCAGGGTCATGGTTAGGGTTGTCCCTGGCTGGCAGGGTTAGGGTTAGGGTTGTCCCTGGCTGGCAGGGTTAGGGTTAGGGTTGTCACTGGCTGGCAGGGTTAGGGTTAGGGTTAGGGTTGTCACTGGCTGGCAGGGTCAGGGTTAGGGTTGTCCCTGGCTGGCAGGGTCAGGGTTAGGGTTGTCCCTGGCTGGCAGGGTTAGGGTTAGGGTTAGGGTTGTCCCTGGCTGGCAGGGTTAGGGTTAGGGTTGTCACTGGCTGGCACTGACACACGCTTTATTGATGCCCAAGTTCACACTGGAGGACTTGGACTTTCAAGGTCACCCACGCCATGACATAACTGGAATACTGTTAAAAGCGGCGTTAAACACAACTCACTCACTCACTCAAGTCATCCACTTACATGTCAGAAAAATTCCCCAGGGGTATACAGGGTATAACAGGTATGAAGTCTCCAACATCTGTCACCAGCGCATGGTCAAGAGCTCAAATTCGAGCAAACACATAAAGCAGCCCCACCTACACCATGGACTGCTATTTTCATGTGTTAAGATCACACATACTGGGAAAAAAGGTAACAGTGAGATACAGAGGCTGCAAGGTTCCTGTAAGTTGTCCTCTAATACTGATAAAGGAATGATGTCATCGCTAATGAACATGCTGAATGAAACATGTTACCATGGTTACCAGTCTCACCAGTTCATTCCATTATGAACTTAGTACCAGTGATAAATAGTGCTATAGCATTGTAGCTCAGCTAGATATTCAGTCAACAATTTTAAAAACCAAAGACAGCCACTGACTTAAGGTTGCTGTCACCATTGTTATCAAAATATTTGCTGCATAAATACTAATCTAACAAAATATGATCTCCTCATCAGGAGAAACAAATGCCAAATTTCAGTACCCTCAGTCTGGCAATTTCTGAGGAAAACAGTGAGTGAGCATGGTGAGTGAGCAAGTTGGGTTCAACACCGTTTTTAACAGTATTCCAGTTATATCACGGTGTGTCAGCTTAATGTGGGAGGAAAGCCCGAAGTGATGCAGGTCTCAGATGTTTACCACTTTGGTGAAACCCGCGAGCACGGGTATGGTGCTGACAAACCTAGAAACGTAATCGGGGCGAACCGGGTATTCGGACCCACAATCATAGGTTTCTAGCGTGCCCAAGGGACGCAACTTAGCACAGCGAATCGCGGCACCTTAGACGACTGGGCCACCCATGTCCCCGCCATAGTACAAAAGCGTACAACTTTATAGTTAACAACATCTGGTTTATTGCACATAGCAATATTTCCATGTAGATTCTTACACCGTTATGAAGATTGATAACGACGTAAGAAATATCACTATATGCAATAAACCAGAAGTTGTTATCCATAAAGCAGAACTGAGATTATCGAGATTAGGCAGGTACTATACATGATACAACTATCCTTACCTTACAGGCCTCACAGATGTAGGCTCCACAGTAGAAGCCGGCCGCTACGTCTCCACACACCTGGCAGAACAGCTCCTTTTTCATGCAAGCTACTTGGTCTGTACCCTCAACACAATTTCCCTGTTCCCCATCAGGACCAGGGCTGACACATGGTACACCATCATCTGAAGAAGACACTGTGGAACTTGGCACCCTAGGTTTTAATTTCGGTAAAGCTCTTTGTAAACTTTTCTTAGTTTGTGATAACGTACTTCCAACAGGGAAGTACTTAGTCCTGAAGATGCTGGACTGTTTTCTGATCTTCTGGTTTATTTCCCCCTCTGTGTTCCGGGTGTCCACGTCAGTGTCCATATTATGTGTTTGTGATGACGGTGAGGGGGTGGACGAAGACGCCGGTGATGAACCACAACTCCCTGTCACGGTACTGTTCTCCCAGTCTACCATGCTCCCCATCACTGTCTTCAAATCACCATCTTGCAGATTCCGTAAGTCTATTAACTCAAAATTCATGGGTTTACCGTCGTCTGTCAAACCACTGGGTCCTACAGATCCCAAAGAATCACCGGGGGATTGGACACGTGGCCTAGAACCACCATCATTGCTTCTGCTGGGATTGACCTCACTGGGTTCTCCAAAGAGCTGCCGAGAGGGAGAGGGTTTTGCAGATGCTCCTTGCTGTGGCCTGGGTCCCTGAGGTTGAGATCGAGAATAGGATGGCATCACATGGCTATACCTCTGTCCCAACTGGCTCTGCGGGACCATAGTGGCGTCACCAGAGCCAGCTGGTGCTTGGTGTATTGTATCTATGTCTGATCGTTGTTTGTTTTCAAAAGGCAGCTGACAAGTAAATTGGTCAAAGGATTTGGTCATAGTGGCATCACCAGGCACTTGTCGAACAGGCAAAATGGATGGAGTGCATGCAGAGTCCCTTTCTGCAGGGAAGGACTTACGTTGAGGACCTTGAGGACGTGGGTACATAGGCACGCTGATACTGCTTGAGGTATGGGGCTTCCTGGGGCTGTGGGACGTCCCAGTCTCGGGAGAATATGTCCGAGAGAGCATTGCTGTATGAGGATGTCCCACAGGATTTGAGGAAGAAATCAAATGGGATGCTGACTCATCTTTGGAATGAAATAGGTCCTCTATTTGTAGGATTCCTCTTTGGTTGTCGCCAGCTGCATTCATGACCTGGTTCATTCCTGAGCTGGCCATCACCAAACCTCCAGCATCAGACGGGTTGTCCCTGAATGGTCTGTTCTCACCGGAGGTCGTGTGGTGTTGACGTCCAGAGGTCCTATGAGATTGATGCCCAGAGGTCGTGTGGTGTTGACGTCCAGAGGTCGTATGATGTTGGTGCCCAGAGGTCGTGTGGTATTGACGTCCAGAGGTCGTGTGAGGTTTGTGCCCAGAGGTCGTGTGACGCTGGTGCCCAGGGGTCGTGTGAGGTTGGCATCCAGCGGATGTGTGAAGGTAAAGCCTCCTGTGGTTGTTTTCTGACTGGGCACACAGAGGTATATTACTCTCGGACACAAGATCTGTGGGAATGTCAGACATGTTTGTTGTGAACACTCCTGCTGCCTGATTGTCATGTTTGTAATGTTCCGTCATATTTCTGCATCAATCCACAGCCACATAAATCTACAAGAACAGCAAGAACAGGCAATTAGTCTGACAGCAAACATATTCTACAGCTTATGCAGTAAGATTACTGTCATAGGGCTGCTGGAACTGTTCCCTGTTGTGATGACGATGGAGAAGACAAAAAACCTGTGATGGACCCTGCACTGTCATTTCAAGGCAACATGATTCCAGCTTCCAGCACTACCAGGGGCTATGCTACAAATGTTCTAGACTTCTAATCCAACAATTCTAATATCCTGACTAATATATGACATACCATTATAACATATCGCATTGTGTCATATTACAGAGTTGCATCCATTGGCTACGTTGTCATCCTTGATTTCCCAGTGTGTTATATCTCCATTGTTACCCTGCACCCAGAGGTGTCACCATCTTAATCTCTCAGTAACCATGGAAACCTTCCATACTTTTTCTCTTGCACATGAATGTGACTAGATGTGTGTATGCAGCTCTGTTTGATAGCAATAGCCCATGGCATCTATCAAAGAATGAGTAATTGAGGGTGCGATGATGTCAGCTGAGATTGGGTGAATCTTGGATTTGAACCCTCGACCAAAGTATTTTACTTGATAATAACACTCATCATGCTCATACTCCCGGGGTTTGACAATAATATCAAACTAAAAGTGAGTGAGTGAGTTGGCTTTAACGCCGCTTTTAACAGTATTCCAGTTATATCACGGCGTGTCAGCTTAATGTGGGAGGAAAGCCCGAAGTGATGCAGGTTTCAGACGTTTACCACTTCAGTGAAACCCAAGAGCACAGGTATGGTGCTGACAAACCTAGAAACATAATCGGGGCTTCGAACCCACAATCATATGTTTCTGGTGTGCCCAAGGGAAGCGACTCTGCACAGCGAATCGCGGCACCTTAGACGACTGGGCCATCAGTGCCCCCTAAAACTAAAAGACTCCAGTTACTTTGTCGATGTTTTCTCTGACATATTTTCCTACATTACATGAGTACAGTGGCCACTTTTAAAAAAAAAATACAGCTGTGAAGAGGTGCGCATAATCATAATACACACCTACATTGAGTTTTGATGTTATTTCCACCCCAAAACATACCTTGAGTATGTAACACCGGATATACCATGTCATCAAATATGTACTGATGTACGCAATATAATCCTATTATGACACTATCTGGTTATGAAAAGGTTTTAGGTATTTCATTCAATATTGTTTACATTAATGTCAACGAAATCAGCAAACTTGATCAGATCACATCTAGTGACGTCTCAAAATGAACCTTAATTGATGGAATAAAGACATATATCACAAATGCCATACTTTGACTTTTACATTTGTTGTGAGGCTTTAGGCCTATATGTCAATGAATGTTTTCGCAATCCAAATAAAAAGACGAGATGGCAATATGGACCAATCACCAAGCTTGGTATAGAATGTTTAGGTGGAGTTACCAAACAGCTCTTCATCATGTTCATGGGCATTGCATTGTGTCGAATTACTGCTTATGCAGCGTGCAGAGTATTAAACAGTGATACGGCTCCCAGGCCACACAGGCGGCAAAGGCCACACAGGCAGCAAAGGCGGCACGCTGACCATGGAGACATGCAGTATTTGTGAGTGCATGATTTGTAGTTCTAACAATGTTACAATCAAAACAAAATCACATACATCAGATGGGAACACAGTGGGCCATCATGGCCCATCCGTAATTTCAATGTGCACCATTTGTGCCCCAATGGCTATATGGCCTAAAATGAACTCTGCAACAGCATCGGGCGGTCGGACTTGCTGACTTGGTTCATGCATGTCAATATCCTACAGAGTAGATCAATGTTCATGTTGTCAGTTGCTGGATTGTCTTGGCCAGACTCGATTTTGTACACTGCCGTCAAACAGCTAGACTATTGCTGAGTGCAGTGTAAACAACAAACAAACAAGCAAACAAACACCTGGCCCTTGAGGCAAGACAGCACAGGTCTAATGATATGTCCTGACTGACCAAGAAGTATCTGACCCAGTGAAAAGATACTTGCCACACAATAGACATTGTTTACCATAAAATGCTCTTGTAAACATGGAAAAACCTAAAGCTGGCTATTTCATTACTGATTTTAATTAAATGTTGTTCAGTCTCATGTTAAAATGTAATAAAACCTGGGCTTTCGGCCTGTGAGAATATTACAGGTTTTTCATTGCCTGTAACCATGGTAAACATGGCCGACTGATGGCTGGCTGCAACCATACCACATACAGCATACAGCATACACACCGTTTCATCCATGCCATTAATTACACCTGTTACGATAGCAGTGAGTGAGTGAGTGAGTTGGGTTTAACGCCGCTTTTAACATTATTCCAGTTATATCACGGCGTGTCAGCTTAATGTGGGAGGAAAGCCCGAAGTGATGCAGGCCTCAGACGTTTACCACTTCGGTGAAACCCACGAGCACGGGTATGGTGCTGACAAACCGAGAAACATAATTGGGGCGAACCGGGATTCGAACCCACAATCATAGGTTTCTGGCGTGCCCAAGGGACGCAACTCTGCACAGCGAATCGCGGCGCCTTAGACGACTGGGCCACCCGTGCCCCCTACGATAGCAGTGAATAAAATATGTCATCTTGTGTTTCTCAGTGCCACAAACAATAGTAAAGCTCTGCTTACCATGGTTACATCCAGAATAACCAGGTTCTACCTCAATGTTCACATTGTTCCAGTGCTTGAAAGGTGTATCTATCGGTATATATCAGCTGGGTTTATATAACATGTTTTAGGTGTTCCAAGACTAAACTTTTCTTTACATGCCAGCATGATCTCCGACTGTTAGGCTTGACATCAATCCTTATTCAGATAACCAAGAATGGGTTCTCACATGGAAATTGAACATTACAAGTACGAAGGCTTCATCACAGAGTACTAGATTCAAATATATCTCAAGTTTCAATTAGATGTTGGAAGACATTTTCTGGGGATCAAAATGTTGACAGATGCAAACCCTGACCACGCTAGAATAGACCCATGAACACAATAAAGATCCGGGGTAGAATAGGTCTTCAGCAATCCATACTTGCCATAACAGGCGACTATGCTTGTTGCAAGAGGTGGCTAACAGGGTCGGGTGGTCAGTTTCGCTGACAGGGTTGATGCATGTCATCATATCTCAATTGCATAGATCGATGCTCATGATATCAATCACTGGATTGTCTGATCAGTCACCCACTCACTAGTCCCACAGGACATATCACACCTTAAGTTTTTATACAAAATGGATATAGACCAAGACACTATCTTTTTCACATTCACAAAGAAAAAATTTCAGAAATAAATTTGCACTACGCCAATGTGTTGTGTGTATAGTAAAGTTTTGCCCTGAATTTTTCTAAATAAAGCACCAGGATACTTGTGTCCACATGCTCCGGCGTTAAAATAGTTAAAAGCAAAACTATATTTGACAACACATGAGGAAAGAGTGCCCAGCTTTATTACTTTACTAAGATGCCAAGTTTAAGACAATATTGGAGATGACAGTCTGACATGAAATCTGTAATGAATGGGGCAATAACTGAAAATCCTTGAACAGACCGGCTAATTGCCTGTACCTTTAAAGACAAAATAGGTTTTAAACATAATAAAACAACCCTAAAAAAAGTAGTTAAAAGTTCAATAAGTAAATTATATTAACAAGTGTGGGATTAAATCCTAACCCATGCAGGACAAGGAGGATCTAGATTTAGGTTTTTGTAAAGATATAGTTCAGTTTAATCATGTGATTCGAAACATTCCACAAGTGCATTGTGGGACCGAGCTAACAATGTAAACGTAGCTCAAACTCTATGTGGTTGGTTATTGGTTGGCGTTTTCTATGGTAACAGTTAGCACTAATGTCAGCAGGCAGCAGCAACCATGGCAACCGCATTGCCATGAAATGGAGTGCTTACTGAGATGGTTGCACTACACCATACCAATACTGTACCCAGAAATTGTAACTGCCATACATTGACAGCTTGGGGCATGAATAGGCATCACCTTGGGACAAACATGTTGTTTGACTGTGGTATGTTGGTAAGATGTACAGCAGGTGTATTTAAGTGCCCCAAACTGAGCATTAGGTGTGCTTGGGTGACCGTAACAGCGTTACAGTGTATTTAAGTGCCCCAAACTGAGCATTAGGTGTGCTTGGGTGACCATAACAGAGTAACAGTGTATTTAAGTGCCCCAAACTGAGCATTAGGTGTGCTTAGGTGACCTTAACAGCGTTACAGTGTATCTAAGTGCCCCAAACTGAGCAATAGGTGTGCTTAGGTGACCGTAACAGCGTTACAGTGTATTTAAGTGCCCCATACTGAGCATTAGGTGTGCTTAGGTGACCTTAACAGCGTTACAGTGTATTTAAGTGCCCCAAACTGAGCATTAGGTGTGCTTAGGTGACCTTAACAGCGTTACAGTGTATTTAAGTGCCCCAAACTGAGCAATAGGTGTGCTTAGGTGACCGTAACAGAGTGACAGTGTATATAAGTGCCCCAAACTGAGCATTAGGTGTGCTTAGGTGACCTTAACAGCGTCACAGTGTATCTAAGTGCCCCAAACTGAGCATTAGGTGTGCCTAGGTTTCCTGCCCGCCCGCCCGCCCGCCTGCCCGCCTTCCTGTCTGCCCGCCTGCCCGTCCGCCAGCCAGCCTTCCTGTCTGCCCGCCCGCCAGCCCATCCGCCTGCCCGCCTGCCCGCCTGCTTGCCTGCCCACCTGCCCGTGGCTTGTAACTTTTCTTTCATGGTGCAGGAAAGGTAGTACTTGATGTTACCCTGCCTGGCGCTCGTCATTAAGGGGCTAAAACAAGGACTGGTCGGCTCAGAATCAGTATACTGTGTCTGAGTGGGGTATTCATATTAAACTGTGGCATGGTATCGCAGTGAGCTATCACAATAAAATCGGCATGAGACACAACCAGACACACACACACACACACACACACACACACACAGACATGCATGCATGTCGCTACGTAAGTGCAACAATCTTGAACG